GCAAGGCACGAATGGATCGAGAGATGATGCCCCTGGGGAGTATATACAAGAACCCAGGAGGCGTGTGGCTAACATTAATGCCCTTGGTATTCTTTCGGATGAGTGCAGAGCAAAGGAGATGGCTCGAGAGTTTTGATGGACACCCATATGATGATGCCATGTTCCACCTCCGTGGAGACGGTTCCTATGTCAGATATTGGAAGAACCAAACTCGGTTTGTATGGTACCGACATTGACGATGTCGAAAGCAAATCATGAGCTCCTACGAGAAACAGAACTCACCAGCCGTTCTTAATCAGATGGCCAGACCGTGAAGGAAATATAGAAGGTTCACCAAGAAGCAAGTGAAGGGAGCTTTCCAAGCGAGGAGCTTATGCAAATCTCCAGCGAACGCCTTTGAAGACTTAAGAACATGACCGAGCCGGACAGATCCGAGATGCCCCGTGATGTTGGAGGATATTTACAATGCCGAGCTGATCTTTGGCAAGGGATGGCCAAGATCAAAGGCTCCAATACCCGGAAACGTCCACCGCCAGCTACAGAGAGTGTACACGCTGTCCCTGAGGAGTTGATGGCCCATCACCGTAATGTATTACCAGGTGCCATGGACGTCGTCAATATTTGTGGTTCAACTTTCTCTCCTTTAACGACTTGAAGTTCGGTAAAGGCAGATCGTTCGATTGAAAAACTTGACAACGGATTCACTATTGAGCCCCTGGATCAGATCATGGACACGTATAACGGAACAATGTATCCATCGGCACAATCCAGTGCGCAATGCGTTCAACATCTAAGAAGCACATAATGGGGTCTCGCAAAACAGCGAGGTCTGGAAGGTACCGAACGACATGCGTCCTAGGCGATTGGTGACGCATTGCTCCCGGATTTGGATGTGTTTGTTGTGGAACATTACTGGTTCTCCATTGGGTGTGGCAGTATGCACCGTTTTGGACCCTGCATGCATCCTAATTCCCAACCCCATAGGTACGACCAATTTTGTGGTCCCTTTTGTCCCCTCTGCCATACCAATGAACATGGAAACTACATACAGAATCCGGTACAGAGCGGTTTGGGGGTTAGCTTTTGGTAACCACCATCACATTTTGTAAGGTCGTTTAGACTTTGCCTAAGGTAATTACAGTTCCTTTATACGGCTAGAATCGGCAATTACTACTAGATTAGCTACTACTACTGATGTATCATGGGTTATTGGTATTGGACTAATGTAAAGCTTGGTTTGAAAGCAAGGGGGCACTAAGTGCTCACACCAACAATCTCGGAGTTGCATTGCAGCAGGCAGAATGCACTTGCATTGCAAAGCAACAAGAATACTAGTACAGGAGAAAAGGGACAGACACTGCAGCTTGGTGCCATTGACACTGGAAGACCCGCTAAAGCACCAGCCAAGTTAGAAGATCGCGGAGAGAGAGAGGCACATCATCAAATGCCACCATTCCACAAACATGGTGGAGAAGATAAAATTGCTGGGCCTCATGAAGATGGTGTCGGTATTAGGTATCTGAAAGCGAGGAAGCACATGTAGAAAACCCAGCAGCCTGACCGCGTTTGGTATTCCAAGAGCTGACGGCAAATGAGAAGAAAGCAACGAGGCGCAGATGTAGGAAGCGATAGAGCAGAGGAATGATGAGGAAGGAAGTGACGAAGATTCGCAAGAAGACAAAGACGATGTATGATAGTAATTAAGATGATTATGAGACCAGACAGTGGTGGATCAACAGCTACCCTGGTACATAATTCCCAAGGAATGGAACCATGACAATGAACTCCAGACGATAGAACATCAACCAATTCCGGAAATATTGTGCAGATTCAAAGAAGACATTCCTCCCCTTGGTAAGAAACAGGCTCGGGGTGTCACAATTGATGGATATCCTTCGAAAGAAACAGGGCGCCTTTGACTGCGTAAGATGATGTGTTACATGGCACTAGGAATGAAAATGGAGCCGATTGGGTGACGAGAAGCTTGGTGAGTTCCGGAGTACTTGAGCGAGAAAAAGTTGATGAGCTTCTCCACGAAAGATATCAACATGGGTGCAAATTCCCTTTTACAAAGACTTGTGCTTCCACATTCAGTGCTAACCATCAAGGTGGTGTGCCACGATGGTCGCCCATTGTGTGTGGCAATTCTTGCCGATCCAGTGCCCTAAGACGTACTCAGTTTCCTGCTTCTGCCAAGTAGACAACTGATTCTTGTAGCTCGTCATAGACTTTCTTGCCGTCAGCGTCCCTAACAAAGGTTGGTTCAGTTGGCTCTGTCGGTGTCTGGTCTTGCATAGTCTCAATGGCCAGTGACGCTTTGGGAACGTCAATCCACTCCGACCTGGTCCTGAAGGTAGCCACAATGTGGTTCAATGTTTCTGTAAACGGGTAAAATCTGGTATCAGCCTGTCCATTTGGATGGAACAGGTACTTGCGGCGGTTGCATTGGCCTCTGCCTCTGCCACCACTGGCACCGCCTCTACCGGCGCCTTGGCCTCTGCCGGAGGAGCCTCTGCCTCCTCCTCTGCTGCCACGGCCTCATCTGTTATTATTGAATTGTGTCATCTTTCTCTTGGTTGCCTTGGGAATTATTGGCTGCGAGGACTTGTACTGGATGCGGTGTACTTGGGACTTGTGACGCTTGGTGGAGCTGGAGGGGGTTCCTCTTATTTCCTATTGATCAGGTTGCCTCTTGTGGGTCTATGTCACTCCTGTGACTGCTCCTGCCTTAAACTTGGCTTGTTCCTATCGCGTCGTGTCGAAATCATGGCTCTTGCCTCCCACGCATTTTCACACCGTTTGGGCTTGGAGGATACTACCGAATGACTCTATCGGTCGACTCGAAGCCTTCTTCTTGTTATAGATAGCTGTATTGGTGTTGTAGTTTACTATTGGAGCAGTTTCATAGGCTCAGAGTAGCTATCGGTGGAGTTTCACTGCGTCGAGTACTGTCGGGCTGTAGGAATCCCGGGGCTTCAGCACTGCTTGACTCGATCGGCGATATCTTGCTCAATTTTCAGAGTTGAGAGCTTGCACTTGTCGTGGCATAGGTGGCAATAAGTGCTCATTCGATCCCTGTATGCGGCCGTAGCTGTATCTCTCTTGGTTTGGTCATCGTGTTCATTCGGCGCGATCGGCTTTTGCTCTGTAGGTGGGTACCCAAAACACGCGATCGGCGATTACTCCTTCAATGATGCTTGTCGGATTGGCTTGGTTCAAGCATCAATATGGACAGGCTATGGCTCTTCTTGACGATGGTATTCTTGGAATGGCTTGAATTGGTCGAAAACTCGATCGGCCGATGCTCCGTGAGCTTGGAATGAGCGAAAATGTGAGGCGAAAATGTTTCCTTGACTGTTAGCTCTGTTGCTTTGCCTTTACCGTAGGGCTACAGCGCACCTCTGCTCAATACCTGAGCCTGATGTGTTTCTCTCAGTTCTTTCTCACTATTACAATACCAATACCATAGACAAACTCAATACAAACCTTTCTTTCGCCACAGTGTTGGGTAAGGCAACACTGTAACTACTAGCTATTATCAAGTTAATCTGTTGATTTGGGTGAGCTGTGGCGAAAGAATGATCTTTCTGACTGGTCCCTCTGAAATCTGGATTCTGAGAATGCCAGTTTCCTTAAAATCCTATGATGGTGCGGTCTTCTTCTTATCCGGGTCCGCTAAATATCTAGACCGGCCAACACGGTTCGCATGCATATTCATGATGCAGGAACCAAGGGAGTTTTAGGTCTAAAGTGTAGAGGGGGTCCTTATATCCAATTCAATCACAAGAATTGCTATGCACTACTAGATCCCCTCTGTGCATAGTTACCCTATTTCATTGTTCTGCACGGTGCGTGCATGCTCGGCTCTGAGTGCCTTGTCGATGACGGGCAGCCAATTGGCAAGCCACGCTTTGATGTCGCCTAGGCCCTTTGCCATTTGCTCGTCAATTTGACACCTGAAGATAAAATCCACCAGCTCCGCTGGAATCAGATCCGCCTTCTCGTAAATGAGTTCCACCTCCCGCTGAAGCTGTTCGTGCTTCTTCTTCCACTGTTCCTCCCTGTCTTTGCCATGCCTGGCAGCATTGTGATCTTCCCACAGGTTCCACCACTGCTGGATGAGCAGTGAGGCCAGGTTGGTGACCCACAGCTGTCCGGTTTCTGAGGTCTCCTTGGAACCGACCTGATGCAAATATGCATCCTGGTGCTTTGCCCATTGCTTGGCCATCCGTCCCCGCATGAGGTTGTCCCACCCGATCAAGTTCTGAGCATCTACCAGGTCCCGGTACCTGTCTGGGTAATGCCAGGGATGAAGGAGCCTGTTTTCGAAGTGGTACTGCAAACCATCAAGAACGATCTCAAGCAGGACTGGATCCGTGCCCACCTTACAAAGCATTGTGCTGATTGCACGCTGCATGGTCCCACGCCACAGTTCCACATCCACATGCGGGCACCTGTAGACGTGAGCTTCTGATTCGTAGTCACAACTGCACCTGGGGCACTTGTGGTCGTACTTGGGGTCATTCCTGTGCACCAGCTTTCCCACCGGGAGCAGCTGTGTGCCTCGTGTCGGTTGACTGCTCTGCCGTGGGGCACCCAATCAATCAGATCTGGTGTGTCCTCATTCCAGTCCCGATTCTGCTTGATCATATTGTTGATCTGGCACCAGGACCCTTAAGTCTTTGAGTCCTGTACCAGATCCCTACCACTATTAAATGCTAGCAAGCCCATCTCCTGGCTCCCCCTGCTCGCAGGACTCCACATAGGAGCCAGAAACCGTTAGCAGCTGTTAGAGTTGGCACTCCCCAGCTGGGCCTGTGTGCTCCAGTAAGGGGACATTTACCTAGAAACTACCAGCTCATAATTGTTAATAACAAACCTTTACTAACTAATTCTTACCTGGCCCCAGCCTGGATCAACAGTTATTAACAATCCAACACACCGACAAACTCTCCACAACGAGAGCATCAGCAAGAGTCTTCCTCCATCGCTGCCGTCACCCTCTAACACAAACCAACATGACATCCTTTGTACCCATCGACCACTTCACCAAAACTACACTCACAGCTATTCCCCCTGATGAGAAACCAAACTACAACAGTCTCAAAATCATCCACCAAGAGCTAAATGCCAATGCAATGACAATCCCATCCGCCCTCGGAGGAGGACATTATGGACACCTCGCATTGGTGCTACAACCCATCACCTACAACGACCTACCAAATACCATCCCTTGGGAAAACCCAGAACATCCAGGTCCAGCCCCAGATCACGGGGTAGCACCAACAGGACCCAAATCACCGAAAACAATCGAGTATATGCCGCCAGAGAGCAACGTTTCCTCACCTACAGAGCTACTGAAACAACGCTCCAGAAGCAACTACTGGAAGCAGTTCCAGATACATTCACCAAAGCATTGAAAAATGAACTCTACGGATATGCCCAAGTCACCGTTAGCGCCCTCCTAGAACACCTCGACACCAAGTATGGCAAAGTAGATGCCGACGACCTAGTCGATAACATCAAGAGAATGGATGCAAATTGGAGCCCCGATCAACCCATTGAAGATCTCTTCAATCAAGTCAAGGACGCTCAGAAGTTTCAGCCGACCATGATCCTATTACAGATAAAATGGCAGTACGCGCAGCCATCGCAAACCTAACCAACAGTGGAGTCTTCACCGACGCCATGAAAGATTGGAGGAAGAAGAAGAAGAAGACCAAGCCTTCACCGACTTAGAGAAGCACTTCACATCCGCGATAAAGAACGACGACGCATCCTCACTCCCAAACAAGTCGGATATGCGAACAAAGCGACGGAGAAACCAACAAAAGGAACCGCGAACAAAACCAAACAGGAGGCATCCCATGTACTATTGCTGGTCCCACGACAGGGCCCAAACAGCAACCACACAAGCAACACCTGCACCAAGAAACCCCCGGCCACCGAGAAGAAGCTACAGCTGACGACAGCTAGCGGATGCTGTGTCATCCATCGTAGGGCTGGTGAGAAAGCAGCTACAGGCGCCCTCAGCGCCCAAGCCGTTGAAACGAAGAAACCAAGTTCCACCAACCAACACCTGAGCAAGACGGGAGCCATTCACGGACGTATCAAACAACAAAGAAAAAAAGTAAACCAAATAATGCACGTATATAGTAAAAGCGGATAAGTTAAAAGAACAAAAGATACAAGAACAAAAAGATGGTCCCCCGAATCAAATAGCAACCACAGACAGAAACGACACGACACCTATAGTCGCAGACACAGGCAGTACCGGACACTTCCTGTCCACGGACTTCATTGCAGTCAGCAATGAAAACATAATTAACATCCAACAGAATCCAACACCAGTACAGGTCACTCTCCCAGACAACTCTGTCATCATTTCTACACACACGTGCAACCCTCGACCTACCGAGTCTCCCAAATACAGCCACAAAGGCTATCCCCTGTTTCCTACACTTGGCTGAGACATCCTCCCTCACTCTCCATACGCGATACGTGAATTTTGATTGTCGGAAGCTGGATGTGAGGCAATCTTCCGAGCACATCAACGCATCATCTCTTTCTT